AGACTAACGAATTTGTTTCAAGTCACATACCCTCTAAGTGACGGTGGGGAGAACTTGAGTCTGTCTACCCTAAAGGCTGGTAATGTTCCCAGGGTCACTCAAGGGTGGGGCACCTGGCTGACTCAATCGGTAGAGCCCGGGACTCTTAATCTCAGGGTTGTGTGTTCAAGCCCCATACTGGGTGTGAAGCCTACTTAAATTAAAAAAAGGGGGGGGTGCCAAGTCTTGTGAGGTCCATTACAATACCCTGGTAGGGCAATGGGAATGTTTAGATGCTGGAAATTCAGCTTTCAGGAATGGGTTTGAGCGGCTTAAGAGGCTGGCAAGTTTTTTTCAAATCTAGGATTTATTCTTTGGTTTAGTCCCCAAATCCTTCCAGGTCTCTTTCTTTCCTAATTACTCCTTGGAAAATACTACTCCCACTGACCTTGACCATTTTGTTTTCAGAACCTGCTCTATCCCCATAGTGATGGGGATAGGACTAAGGAAGAACAGGCAAGAATAGGGAAAGTGCCTCTCAATAAACAAGCCCTCCCCCTGCCCCCATGGACTCTGGAAAGTAATTTCTGGGTTCTGCTCTGGACACACAGATTGGTTTTGTTCAGCTCAGTCATTTTGATCTGTTCTTAGTGAAAAGGGGAGCAGAAATAGGCTAGATGGCTTTTAGGTCCAGAACCCTTCCTTAAAAACATCTCAACTCTGACCTCTGACAGAGGACATTAACCTAGGAAACCAGATAGGTAGCCCTGGGTTCACTATTAACCCAGAGCACGTGTGGGCAAATCACGTCCGTCTCTGTCACATTCACCAATCCTGTGAAATGAGGCCATAGGCCAGGAGATTAAGCATGCTTTCTGCTGTCTCTTTTCAATATGAACTCCCTCTATCTAATTATTCAATGTACAGTTACATCTCCAGGGTATTAAGAGGTGGAAGAGTCAGTGTGGGCCATCTAGTCAAAACCAATGAGTTCACAGAAAATGGAGGCTCTGGAAATTTCAGACACTTGCCCCAAATCAGAGTTAGATGGAGGCAGGGGAGGAGGCAGGAATCAGGTCTTTTCACTTCGCCACTCAACCTAATACTGCCTCACACAAGCACAGCATTTCTCATCCCACTTATTTCTAAAACCCTCGGGGGCGCCTGGGTGGCTCAGTCATTAAGCGTCTGCCTTGGGCTCAGATCATGGTCTGGGATTGAGCCCCACATCCGGCTCCCTGCTCAGCGGGAAGCCTGCTTCTCCCTCTCCCACTCCCCCTGCTTGTGTTCACTCTCTCGCTGTGTCTCCCTCTGTCAAATAAATAAAATCTTAAAAAAAAAAAAAATCCTGAAACCCTCAGGCGTAATCACTACCCATTTCGCAGACGAAGAAACCGAGACCCACAAAGTTTCAAGGCCACGGAGAGTTGGGGTCAGTGCTGGGAAGAGGAACGAGGTCCCCTCCTGCCCGTCCTAGGGCCTCACCCTCGAGGAGGCGGCAACGCTGGTGGAAGACGTAGCAGGCCTGATCCTTGTACAGCGGCTGCTCGTGAACCGGGGTCGGGCGGCGGAACTTTGGGTGCGTCCAACCGGGGTCCCAGGGCGGGAAGACCGGCCGCGCCAGCCCGGGCATGAAGTGCATCTTCCCCGCGTACGTGATGGGCTCCAGTCCAGGGATCTCGTACACCCTGTCCAGGGGACGAGGCTCGGGCTTCCGCGTGGAGCGCACGCCCCACTCGTACGCCCCGCGTCTCGGAGCCCCGCAGTCCCCAAGGCCGAGCCGCCCAGGGCGAACCAGTGCCCGCCTCGCGGGCCCCGACGCCAACGCCATACTAACTTGGGCCCACCTCAAGACCTCCACCAGGACGCCGCCATGTTCTCGCGCGCAAGGCCTGCTGGAAGCGAAAGGGGCGGGGCGCCAAGGCTCGTTTTATGAGTGGCAGCCACTTCAACCAATCATATTCAAGATACATTTGCCTTGCCCCACCCCGCCGCCTATTTTCATTTTCTCATAGGTGAGACCACACTATGCACTTCCCGCCTCCAGGGGTGGGGGGCGGCACCTGGAGGAAAGTCTCTCGAGGGGAGGCGCAGGTGTGTAGGTGAGTGGTCTTGATAGATGCTGGGGTAGGACCAGGGCTAGAATACCAGTACTTCAAACCTGAATTTAGGGCAACCTTGACAGCTTACAGGCAGTTGAAGCTTGGGCAGGGCACTTCTCTCCGAGCCCCAATGTCCCTCACTGTAAAAATGGGTTAGAAATGCGTAAGTTAGCGTGCCTGCACAGCGTCCGGCCCGTAGTGGGTGCACTGAAGTTTCTTGCCTCACCTCCCACTTCTCACTGCTGCGGAGCCTTGACCGCTGCCCCTCCACGAGCCCGAGAGTGGCCCTGCCCACCACACCAGCGCTGCATCGACTGCGCGCCCCTTTCCCAGCGTCAAGAGGGAGCTAGTTTCCTCCCTTTTCTTGGGTGTTTCCCTGTCTGCCTCCTAGAAGCAGGCCTGAGCTCTGGAGGTGTTCTTGCTCCTTGCGCCAACACCAGTTTATCAAAAGCTTGCAGTGTGTCAGTCGCTGTGGTGAGCATAGGGTTTGCGTTGGTGAATAAAATAACTATGGAATGTAGAGCGTATGGGCAGAAAGCAAGTAAAGTCAAAAAATAAGCAATTGGAACACGCACATGTATTTCCTATTTCTTTTCCCCAGTTATTTCTCTTTTTAGCACTTAACACTAAATGTCGCGTTTTACATTTTGATCTTGTCTAATGACTGTCTCTTCCACCAGAATGTAAACTCTATGAGTGCAGGGGGTTTTGCTTCCTCACTGCTCTATCCCTTGCACCTAGAACAGTGCCTAGCACTAGTAAATATATGCTAAATGAATCAATACACAACAGAAATAAATAGAATACTTGATAGAGAATGAGAAAGGGGAGGTTCAGGGTGGGTCTTTGAGAGGAAGTGACCTTTAAGGAAGGCCTGAAGGGTGGGGAGAATCATCCCACCAGAGACAACGGCATGTGTCAAGACCTGGCTTAAAGATAGTGCTTCTTCGACTGAAGAGGTGGAGGCTAGGAGGAGGCAGAAATCAGGTCTTTAAAGTTCATGACAGACTTGGCCAACTTCCCTGCCAATTTCCAATATAGCAAAGAAAGTAGGGTAATGAAGACACGGAGAAGGTAAGTTTAAGGCAAATACTGATAGGAATAACCCTCATGCTGTCTTGCAATTTACAATTAACAGAGCTTTCCCTTCTCTCACTTACCTTGCAAAAACTGCAGGAGTAAAAAAAGCATAAAGAGGGCTCCAGACTTCATTCACTCACCATACATACCTGGTCCATAGCACAAAATAGAAAGGGGTTGAATTGATATAACACCATGCTAGGCTGCAAGCTCTATAAAGGTAGAGAGCCCATGTCCTATTTACGTCTTGTGTCCCAGCACCTAACACTGTGCCTGGCTCTCAGACCTTATCTATAAACTAAATGAGCGCTCACCATTCACTGGAGCCTTCCATATGCCAGGCTTGTGCTTGGTGGTAGAACACAGAAAGAGTAAGACATCATCCTTGCCCTCAAGGGGGTTACAGCCTGCTAAACCTTCCTGAGGTCATAGAGCTCATGAACAGTGGAACCAAATTTTCTGAAACCAAACCCTTTCTTGTATAAGAGTATTGCACACAGAGGGACCGCCCTTCTAAAACCAAGTGGTAAGAAGATTTGGACAAGTTCTGATCAGAAGGAGCCTGGGGCACCAGGCAAGGAGACTGGATTTGAGCCAGGAGGCAATCGGGGAACTGTTAAAGGTTGCTAAGCAGAGACTGGTGTGATCAGAGCTGGTGGCAGGTGTGCTGATGGATGGTGTAGGGAGAGACTGGAAGCACATCCTCTGGGACCATGGGAAGCTCCAGTGTAAATGGACATGGAAAGGAGGAAAAGTAGTAAAGGTCTTAAAGTTTAGGAATCATGGGAAGTGATTGGTAACCGAGAAATGGGACCTCCCTGTCTTTTAGGAGTTAGGGGACCTTGGGTGAGTTATTAACCACCCCCCGACCCCAGTTTTCCTGTTTAAAAAATGACATCTCTAGTACCAGCCTCATTATAAAGATTAAATGAAATGCAGCAATTTGGTGGGTGACTTACCTGAATGAAAGAAAACAGATACAAGGGGTGCCCGAGTGGCTCAGTTGGTTAAGCATCTGCTCTGGGCTCAGGTCATGATCCCAGGGTCCTGGGATCGAGTCCTGCATTGGGCTCCCTGCTCAGCAGGGAGATCTGCTTCTTCCTCTGCCCCTCCCCCACTCATGCTCCATCTCTCTCTCACAAAAATAAATAAAAAATCTAAAAAAAAAAATACTATTTAAAAAAGAAATGATTCTGTTGACGTAAAGGTAAAAACTGGGCAAAGCTGAACTATAGTGGTTAAGTTTGTATGCAAAGGTGGCAAAACTAAGGAAAAGCAAGGGAATGGTTATACCAAAGGTCAGGATGATGGTTACTTTGTGGGGGATGGGAGGTGATCAGGAAGGGACACGTATGAGGGGCTTCTGGGTTGCTAGCCAGGTTCTTTGTACTTTACTACGTGGTAGTTACAAAGATGTTCCTTTCTAACATTTGAACTTATTTTTAATAGTTTTGATAATTATTAAATTGTACGTAACTATTGTATTTTATCATTTAAAATATTTTTAAATTCAATGAGCTTTTCTATGTGAAGTGCTTAATCCAGCACTCAAAGCACAGGAAGAAGTCAGGAACTTTGGGCACCAGCTCTGATCGTTGTGCCCTGTCTGCCTGCCTCCCCTGCCAGGCAGCAGGTCTCAGGGTTGATTCATCCCTGACCCAGTGCTCACACAGTTTGGCACCTGCAGGCCTCAGGGAGAATGGGAGCAATCGAGGTTGACCAGAGTGTAACCCACATGTTTTCCCTCTCTCAGGCCAATGAGGGAGGGCCCGGGCCTGTGGCCTCACGGAGTCAGACCTGTTGTGGGAAGAGCACCAAGTTGTCCCTCCCAAGCTGCTCAAGCCCCACTGATGATGGATGAGAGGGAGGAGGATGCCGATGAGGAAGCCTGGCTGCAGCTTCGGCCGGTGGAGCCCTTGCCCTCCCAGTGCTGTGGCAGTGGCTGCTCACCTTGTGTTTTTGACCTCTATCACCGAGAGCTGGCAAGGTGGGAGGCAGCCCGAGCCAGCAAGGACAGGAGCCTGCTCAGTGGGGAGGAGTCACAGGTGAGGGAGGGCTGCTCCTCAGACAAGACGGGTCGGGGTGGCAGTGTCAGCCTGGCCCCTGCCCTGCACAGTGACTCTGCACGGCAGAGAGGTCCAGGTTCAAAGCCTGACCCAGAGCTGGGTGTGGGGTCGTCCCAGGAGTGAATGAGGTTTGGGCATTTTACAGGAGAGAGATCTGTGAGTCATGACATTCAGAGAAGGCTTCCTGGAGGAGGTACAGGTGGGTGGAATGTTAAAGGCAGTGGGCTGAGACTTAGAAGACGTGAATCTGAATTTCTGCTCAGGGTGTGACCTTGGACAAGTAAGCCGCTACCACTCAGGCCTCAGTTCCCCCACATGGAAAACAAGGATATTGGATTAGAGCATCTTAAGGTCCCATCAATTTCTAAATTCTGCAGATCTGGATTTTTAGCAGGTTTGAAGGATGAGTAGGTATTTCATACATTGGAGATGAGTGTGCTGGATAAAGGGCACCGCTTGAGCAAATAAAGACTCCCAGATAGGAAGCAGCAGGGTATTCTTGGGAGAACAGAGAAAAGTTTGGTATCTGATGCATGGGAGAGAAAATGAGGCTTGAGGTTCGTCCACAGGGCCCTGCAGTGTCCAGCCAAGGAGGCTGCACTTTATCCTGGGGCTGAAGGAGCCGTGGAAGGCTTCTGAGCAGGGGGAGATGAGTGTGAAAACCTCGGGCCTTCTTAGATCAGAGCATGAAAGGGAGGTGAGGCAGGATTGCTCTCTATTATAGGGAAAACTTTCCCACAGAGATAGATAGCCTGTCGGGGGTGGGGAGCGAGAAAGGTGCTTGTGGCTGCTTGGGTGTCTGTTGTGCCCCAGGTCCTAGCTGTTGGGTATTTTCCTGTTGCAGAGCTGCCCATCCAAGCTGAGCCCAGAGACCTTCCTGGCCTTCCGCATCAGTGCCGTGGACAGACTCACCGAGGACACTTACTGTGTTCGGTTTGCACTACCCAGGAACTGCCAGTTCAGCCTGCGGCCTGGCCAGCACCTCATCCTACGGTACACTTGGGGAGTGGGAGGCCGAAGCTTTGCAGCCCCGCTTTGCCATTTGCTTGCTGTGTGGCCGAGGACAACTTGCTTAGCCTCCCTTAAGCCTCCATTTATCACCTTTAAGATAAACGTAGTGCTACCTGACTCAGAGGATTCTGGGATTGTGTTTTCATAACAACCAACAGCAGCAACAGTAACAGCAAACACTTTCGTGGCATTTACTCTCCAATGCACAGTTCTGCGTGCTCACACCTAGGAACTCACTGAATCCTCACAAAACCCTGTACGTAGGTACCGTTATTATTCACAAGAGGAAACTGAAGTCAGAGAGGTTCAGTAACTTGCCCAAGGTCACACAGTTAGGAAATGGTGGAGCCACGATTTGAAGGCCAGCAATCTGGCTCTAGAGTCCGTGGTATTAATCTAATATTAGTGCCAGTTGAGAAGAAGGACGCTTGTCCTCGAGAATAAGGGACTTGCCAAGGATCACCCAGTTAATACGTCCTGCAGCCAGGCCTCAAACCCGGACCACCTGGCTCCCCAGCTACACTCTACCGCTCTTCTGAAGGTCCTTCCTCTTCCCAGCCTCTGGCTACTCTCTCCCCCAACCTTAATCCCCTCCCCTTGCACCACCACCCCCCCAATCTGCCCAGGGACAAGGCCCTTTGGGATCTGCAGGTGGAGGCATCTGCTAGATGGTTGACTCTGGGTGTGAGGCTCAGCAGAGAGAGATGAGCTCTAGGTGTGAGTGTGGGAGTCATCAGCCGGCACCTGGACGCCATCTGGGGGCATGTGTGGTATGGAAAGAGGGAAGGACAGAGGACCGAACCCTGGCAACTCCAGCATTTGTGGTATCGGCAAGGAGGGGAGGAACCAGAAAGCGGGCAGAGGACGAGGAGAGTGTCTTCCTACCGGTCACACTGTAGCCACTTGCCTCATGCCAACCCCTGGTGTTGGTGCACAGTGTGCCCAGGCTGTGGCCTGGCTGGCTGTCGGGAAAGCTCACTATCCCAGTGGCTCCAGGGCAAGTCACAGCCCCATGCGACCTTCCATCCATAAGTCAGGGATGTCCAGCACCCCCTGCCCTTAGCTTGGCCCCTCTTCTCCACCCCCTCTGCTGCCCCAGCGACATTCCTAACACGTGGAGCTAACCATGTCGCTCTCTTCTGGTGAGCCAAGGAGGCTTCCAAGGCTCCAGCTTCCTTTCCCACCGAGTTCCCCCTGCTCCTCCCTCACACTTGCGCCTTGCCCCAGCCTCGTGACCCACTCACCAGTTCCCGACCTGCTCTGCATTTCCTGCCTCTAAGCTTTTGCCCAGTCTGTGCCCTCTACCCGGAATTCCTTCCTGTTCCTGTCCCCACTTCCACCTGTTGGTGGCCTGCCTCTTTCATACCCAGGAGGGTAACAAAAGCTCCAGGAGGCCTTCCTGAAGCCCCCGGATGAGCGTGGCCCCTCGGCCTGGAGCATGTCCGCATTTACCTCTGTGACAGCAGGGGTCACAGTGCTCTTCGCATCCACGCCGCGCCACAGGTTGTGTTTGTTATTTCCTTGTTTGTCCCCTAAGCATTTCTTGACTATTTCAGTCTAGCTTCCCGCTTTTGATACATTAGGATGGGACCTTTTAATTTTTTATTATTTTTTTAAAGATTTATTTATTTATTTGAGAGAGAGTGCACATGCGTGACTGGGGGGGGAGGGGCAGAGAGCGAGAATCTCAAGCAGAGTCCAAATCGCTCATGACCTGAGTGAGCCAATCACGACCTGAGCCAAAACCAAGAGTTGGACGCTTAACCAGCTGAGCCCTCCAGGCGCCCCAGGATGGGGCCTTTTTAATCTTTCCACATGTCCAAGAAGAAAGTTTTGCACACAGTAGGACTCAAAAGAGGAGTGCTTGGGTGCTCCTGGGAAGCTCTGAGGTGTTGTGTGAGGAACCCGGCTCTGGAGTCAGAGCTAAGGATGAATTTTAGCTGTATGACCTCTGGCAAGTAACATCCTAAGCCTTAGTTTCCTCATGTGGGTTATTGGGGTTTTTGAGGGGTTTTTTGTTTGTTTTTTTATGATTTTACTTATTTATTTGAGAAAGAGAGAGAGAGAGAGTGCGTGTGCTCCCAAGCTGGGGGAGGGGCAGGGGTAGAGGGAGAAGCAGGATCCCCACTGAACAGGGAGTGGGGCTCCATCCCAGGCCCCTGGGATCACGACCCAAGCAGAAGGCAGACACTCAACCAACTGAGCCACCCAGGCGCCCCTGGGTTATTATTTGTTAAATGAGATAATGTGCACAATATGCTTGATGCCTAGTAGTTATTTAATACAACATGGCTGCTACTATTATTACTTGTGATTGTCATCCTGGCCCTATTGTTGATAACATCGTAGAGAGGATTCATGCATGAGGTCAGGCTTTGGACTAGGGCACCTTTGAGGATCCTTCTAATTCTGACACTCCTGGTACATGGTAGTAAGTGTTTTAATAAACGTTAACAGTCTTTATCTTTCTCATTCTGTGGTCAAGAAGAGGTCAGGAAACACCATAGTGATGTCCTAAAAACAGCTCACATCATCAGTGGACTCTTTGAAGACTTTCCCATCTGTGATCCCAGTAGAACCACACTACAGGGATACACATTGTTGTTCCCACTTTACAGAGGGGCAGCTAAGGGATCAGTGACCTGCCTGGGTCTCATAGCCAGCACGTGGCAGTGGGGGAGCCCAGCGCCCCTTTCCTCTGCTCCACCTTCAGAGAGGACCACTGGGGACGACCAGGCCCCAGTTCTCACCAGCCTGGCATATTGTTGAATGCCTGGCTGACTGCCTGACCATATACTTCTCTTTCCCAGAGGGAAGGTGGATGGCTTAGAAATTCAGAGAGCCTATACGCCCATCAGCCCTGCCAACGCAGAAGGATACTTTGAAGTTTTAATCAAGGTGAGCTGACCCACGTGGGTGCCCTTAAGATGGTGTGGACTGGACTCCGTTTGGCAGCTGGGTCAGGATGGGGCAGTGCCCAGCCATATGGGAAAAGCCAGTGTTCACATGGGAGGAGGCTGGCTTGAGGAAAGAGCAGGGAGAGTAAAGGAAGCCTTCTCCCATCTCCTTCTTTCCCGGGGTGGGGGAGGGGGCCTGGCACCTGAGGCCCCAAGAGACACCGATTTTAGGAAAAGGAGGCTCAAACTGAGAAAGGTTATGCTGTTCCCTCGCGCTTTCTCAACTGTTCATGGAGAACGAGCACCGGGCCCAGGGGAAGGGGCAGCCAGGTCGCCTGGTCCCTGCTGTGTGTGCCCTGGTTGCTGGGCTCCAGAGAGGAGTCAGATACAGTGCCCACCCTTGGACGGGGGGCCAGACCAGGGCAGGGCAGGGCACGACGATGGGATAGATGCCATGACAGGAGGCCCCAACCCAGTTCAGGGCAGCTGGGGTGCAGGGAAGGCAGCAGGCCTTCCTAGCAGAAGCTGAGTTTGAGCTGCGTGTTGAAGTGAAGGAGTGGAGAACCAGGAGGGAAGGGTGGGGACAAAGCTCTCTGTGCCGGGAAGAGCACGCACATTGGCAAAGGAGGCACAGCTGGGAGAGCTGTTTGTTAGTCACTTGTCCCGGACTGGAAGGGGGTGAGCAGGCAGAAGGTGGGGCGTGGAGCACCTTGTGAACAGAACTACCCTGAGCCCGTTCTCAGGGAGTAGACAAGGGCCGGGGCATTGGAGTTGGGCCTTGAAGAAGGAATACAAATGGGCAGTGGCAGGGAGTGGCATTCCAGGCCTCAGCCTGGACAGATGACCAAAGGCAAGGAGGGGCGAGACAGGGTCTATGGGAGCTGTGCCCAGTCTGACGGGCAGGAGGAGGGGTGCTCATGGGGGCAACCGAGGTGGTTAGGGCCCTTGGCAGAGATGAGATGAACAAATGGCCTGGGTACAAATCCCCCCCACCCCCCCAGGACCCAAGGACTCGGCACTGGATGTATAAGAGGTCTTGAAGATCCAATTATGTGGAAAAAATAATTAGATTGAAGTACACGAAACTTCTGATACTCTAACATTTTTGACTTACAGAAACAGTGGTTTCATACAGGTCAACCTAATATATAGTCGACATCGTCATTTCCCAAACAGAATCCTAGGGAACACTGATATTTAAGAATAGCTTTCCCATCCTTTATCACCCTTGTAGGATGGGAATTACTATTCTCCTTTCACTGATAAGCAAACTGAGACCCCAGGAGGCCCCAGGCTCCACAGGGAGTAAGAATTGTCGCTGGTGAGTGAGCCTGGCCTCCTGACTCCAGGCCCCCAGCACTGTCTTGACTCCTGCCTTCCCTGACTCCCGTCAAAGCCCGAGTGTTTATTCCTTCACACAGAAGCTTGGATGGGGTCCCTTCTCCACGCAACTGTTTGTCTGGGAGATCCCACAAATCCTCTCCAAATGGCCTGCTTCCCCAAGCTGCTTGTCTGGGTGTGTTTCTGTTGAAAGGATAAGCCTGGAGACAGTTCTTCAGGGCAGCTGGAGCTCTCCCAGCTGCAAGGCTGATTTTCTCCTTCGTTTACCGGAAAGCCTCTCTTTAGAGAGATGCTTAATTATCCCTAAGCCGCTGGCTGGGAAGAGCTGGAAATGTCTTTGCAAATTGGGAAGGCAGGCGGGTTTTTTAGGTTTCCCTCCCGTGTGGGATGAGAGGGAGGAACTCCCATTTCTCAGGCACCTTCTGGGCACCACACACTCTTTCCAGCTCTTCATATTCATCATCTCCTTTCAACCTCATAACCTCATAACCATCCTGCAGAGTAGATCATATTATCCCACTTTACAGATAAAGAAACTGAAGCTCAGAGTGATGATGTCACTGTCCCAAGGCCCCTTGGGTAAAGTGATCCCACGCGGAAGAACAGAAGTTCAGTGTCAGCTCTGTTTAACAAGTATGTATTAAGCAGGCTCCGTGTGGGTGCTGAAGACACAGAAGAATCCTTCCTTTCTCCTTAAGTGCTATCTGTGCCATAGGGCTGCTCAAGCCACAGCTGGGGCTGGGCCTCCCCCCAAGACTGGGGCCAGAAAACAGGTGTGCTCGGAGACAAGCCTCCAGCAAGTTCGGAGGAGAACTGTAACCTCCCTCCCAGACTTCTTGCAGGAGGGCTGAGGACCTCCCTTGCTTTATGCGTATGGTACCCAACGAAGTCAGAGCTGCTACCAGAGGTAGCTGTGGGTACTTAAAAGCATGTCTGGTGACCAAAGCCCAGTCTCCTTCAAACTTGATTATATTCTCACTCCAGACAGCCTTCCAGTCCTATCAGAGCTTCCCCGTCCCCCTCACATTTCTGTGTCTTGGGTTGTCCTACCTTGACCATACCACAGCTGATGCCCAGAGCCCTCTTTGCCTTCCTGCTCCTACCCCTAGTGAATGCAATCTTTTTTTTTTTTTTTTAAGATTTTATTTATTTACCTGTCAGAGTGAGCACACAAGCAGGGGGAGCAGCAGAGGCAGAGGGAGAAGCAGGCTCCCCACTGAGCAAGGAGCCCAATGAGGGCCTTGATCCCAGGACCTTGGGATCATGACCTGAGCCGAAGGTAGGCACTGAGCTGTCCCTAGTGAATGCAACCTTGCCTAACCTACAAGATTCAGCTCAAACGCCTCCTCCTCCAGGAAGCCATCCTTGATCCTACTCCATTGGAAGTGACTGTACCTCCTCAGGGTTCTTTCAGCATTCTGTCCTTTTCATGGGGTATTAGGTAGTCTCTACCTTGAGTGTACGAGACTTTGATCACTCCTAGTTTGTGAGCTCCTTGAGGAGAGGTCTTGAACCTGGATTGATTGATTGATCCATTCATTCATTCATTCACTGAGGTATTATGAGTCTTTCCCAAGGTTCAGGCACTGGCTGCCTTCATGGAGCTTAAAGTCTAGCTGTCTTCCCTGCAGCCCCAGCATGGTGCCTGGCCCAGAGTGGGCAGGCCTGCAGGAAATGTGGACTGCCCGCCCCCATGAAGGAATCCCCTCCACAACCTTTACTTTTTTCAGCCAGCCAGGAGACAGTGACAGGTAACGCAGAGGTTGCAAATGAGTAGCCTGCAAACTGATTGCAGCACAGAAATATATTTGGTTTGGGCCTACACAGTGTTTTAAAATTTAGAATTAATTTCTGACATTTCAAAGATGGGAGATTTTACATGAAAATTTGGATCTCCTGCCCCTCTTAGAGAATCAGAAGATAGGGCATCATCAGCCCCACAAACTATATCCCGGAATCTGCAAAGCAACTTCCTCCTTTAGAAGGAGCATTCATGTACTCACCAGTTTACCACAGTCCCCACCACCCCCTGTTGTCTCCCTGATACTGAGAGTGTCAATTGCCATTAATCATCTCATACCCAGTTCTTTACTCAGTGATATGACGTGCAGGGCCCCTGTAGTCGTGTGGGTCTGAGACCTCTGAAGGTAAGGCTGTCGGTCCTGTGGTTCTTACCCCGGTCTCACCATTTCCTTTCTGGAGAAGCTTCTGGGCCTCATCTGAAAATTGGGAATGACAGTCCCAGCTCTGGGGTGACTAGGAGGATCCTCTAAGATAGCACCTGTCAGGTACTTGGCCTGCCGGAAGGGCTGCACGTTAGTGGCTCACGTGGTTTGTATTGGCAGCATGTACGTGTTCCAGTGAGATCCCCCTGTGTTTGCTCCCAGTGCTACCCGACTGGGTTGATGTCCCGGTACGTCAAGTCCTGGGGCACAGGACACACAGCTTTCTGGCGAGGACCTTTCGGCGATTTCTTCTATAAAGCAAACCAGGTCAGTGCCAGCACACTAGGCTCTCGGGAGACGCCTCCTGCCTGAGCCTCCAGGACCACGGTTTCCATGTGTCAGGCTGTAGAATTGCACTGGTGTCATTCTTCCTGAGCCCAAGCCCGATCCCAAGAGCGTCCTTGGGGTTGGACATGGGAAGAGACGGAATGGGCACTAAGAAACAAAACTGCCTGCATATGCTCTAGGACTATCTGGGGTGGCCCATTGCTTAGAAAATCCACACTCACGTACTTGGTACTCAGGACACCTATGCCATCAGGCCCTCTGATTATCTTTCCACTTTTACATTCTAGCTACAAAACCATGGAGACCACTCTCTTAAATACACCCCATAGCGCTCTGCTCGGGAGCCCACTGCTCCCCAGCCTGAAGGCTCTTCCCCTCATTCTCCTGGCATGTTCATCTCCTTCCCTGATGTGCCTGGGAAGAATTAGTAATTTCTCATCAGTTGGTGCATATCTGGAAGGCAGCTTGGCAGTGTGTACCAAGAGTCTTAAGAATCTCCAAATCCTTTGACCCAGTAATTCCACTCCTGGAAGTCTGTCTTGTGGAAAGAATCCAAATGCTGCCTCTTGTGCACATGTTCACAGAGGCTTTATTTATAATAGCAGGAAATTGGAGGAAACTGAATATCCAGCCACAGGGGAAGAGTTAAGTGCACTGGGTTACAGGTACTTGATAGAATATTATCCTGGATTTTAAAGTTATGTTTATAAATGATGTTATACGCTTATGCTGTAAGCATATAACAAAACCGAATATACAACAGGTTGGGAAACCAAGTTTAAATGCACAGAAAATATATGAAAAGAAAATGCAATGCAATGTCAGCGGCTCTGGGTGGTAGAATTATGGGTGATTTTTGTTTTCTTCATTATACCTTCCAAATCATCCACAATGAGCACCTATTACTTTTCTAATTAGGAAACAAAGCAAAACAAAAGCAAATGAAAAAGAATGAATCATTCCTTTCTCCCCATTATTTTTGTTTAATATAAAAATAGTTTTTATTCTTTTTTTCCTTATTACAAATACAGTACATTTACATTACCAAAAAAAAAAAAAAAATCAGATTTAGAGAGGCAAAAGAAGAAAAGAAAGAACACCTGTAGGCCAGTGCTCCCAGTGCTACCCAACTGGGCTGATGTCCAGTACGTCAAGTCCTGGGGCACAGGACACACAGCTTTCTGGCAAGGACCTTTCGGTGACACCAGTCTCACTACCTTGGCACAGAGCTTTCCAGCTCCCCTTCCACACACGGGTGAAACATCCGTACACACCCATGTACGTGTGTGTAACAAGTGCATGCACCCACTACCATAGTATGGTTATACTATGAGACACGTGTGTGGTGCTGCCTACCTGGGCCAGGCTCTGATGTTCACACTTGCCACGCTAAAACTTTATTTTCTCCTCACCACAGCTCTTAGGTCTGCTACCCCTGCTTTACAGACGTGTACGGTGTGCAGGTTGTAATACTCTTTGGCAGCGTGCTCCTAGTGTCAACCTTGCTTAGCCTTGCATTTTAGCTGAGGGTGTCCCCGTGTCCCCCAGGCCCCTGAGAGCAGGGACCGGGATTGTCCCTGTTTCCCCCTGACCTAGAGGGGACACCTGATGCACATTGTCTTGATCGCGCCTTCTGGGTGGGGCCTCCCTGCATCCACAGAACCGCCCTGCAGAGCCCCTGCACTTCCCATCCTGAGAGGTTGTAGGGCCAGGCAGTGAGGGAGAAGAGATGGCATCTCACACAGAAACATTTGGCTGCTGGGATGGGCTGAGGCGTGGTTCTGCGCCCGTGGGGACGCAGGGCTGCTCCGGCCCTCTCCCAGGCCCTGTCTTGCTGCTCTGCAGTCGTCTTCATTGTAGATGGCTATCATGGCTGCCATGAGGCTGGCATGTGAGCATCTGTCTGTGCGTTCCTTCCAGACATTCGCAGGTCTCCATGTGGGGCCACACATGGGGCGGACAAGGCCCTGTCCTCCAGGAGCTCACCATGTGATGGGGGACAGACTCCCACACCAATGGTAGCAATACGGCATGGCCGGTGTCGTGAGGAGGGGGCACAGAGGACTGTGAGGATGCAAAGGAAGGACCCCTCACATGCTCCTGGCTCGGGGAAGACTGTCCAGAAGAGACCCCAAGTGGTGCTGGGGGACAGAGGAGGAGCGCACGCGCTGGGGACAGGCACACAGGACGGGGGGTTGCCGCCAGCAGCAGGGCTCGGTGAGGGAAGGAGTCTAACTGTGTGGAGCACCAGGATTCGCACCAGGCATCTTGATGGCATCTCGTTTAATCCCCACGACAATTCTGAGGCACATGCTACTGTGGGGGAGGAGCTGTTACTTTTTTTTACCCATGAGGAAACCAAGGCTCAGAGAAGTGAAAGCACTTGGGCAGATCATATGGCTGAAGATTTAGACCCAGGTCTGCATGACGGATACTCGAGGAAGTATTTCATGCAGGAGTGTCATATGCATTAGCTGTCGATAAAGCTAGTGGAAACTTGGACTGCATTCTCAGAGGCCTAATCTCTAGAATGAAGGAGGTGACTACCTTGCTGCATAGGTCAGGCACTACCCTTTAAAGCACTGACCTTAAAGAAGATAAGATCATGCCTCTTAAAGAGACCTAGAGCCAGGACATGGCTTCATGGTTTCGATGATGGGTTGATGGAATTGGGGCCTCTTGGGGAAGAAATTCACTTTCATTGCATGGTTCTTCTGTGCCAGCACTGTGCTGGGCGCTTATGTATAGTAAGTATCTCAGTCTAGAGAAGAGCAGGCTCAGGGATCCATACCAGGACCCTCAGATCTCTACAGGGCTGCCCTGGGGCAGAGAAGGCAGCCCAGAGGGCAGAGCTGGGATAGGGGTGGTGGACTAGGCTTTGGCGGGAGCAGCTTTCAGCTCAGCGTGAGGTGGAAAGACCTCTCTGGCAAGGGGAGTCAGCCTATAACAGAGCAAACTGCTTTAGGAGGTAGTGGGCTCCTTGTCAAGAGAAGTGTGTTAGCAAAGTCCCGTGGAGATGGACAGGAGAGCAATGGAGCCACTTGTAGGATGGGCTACACCATTTTATGTTCCTGTTCAGCCTCCAGATTCCATGATTTCTGTGACACAGACCTCACAAGCTGTAGACTTTCACAAGAGGACGTAGAGAGGGGACCTCAGATGGGTGGGACCCCAGGAAGGGCTGCACTGTGTGTGGGCTGAGACCTGCCATCTCCCCATTCTGTTCCCCAGTACGGTGAGCTCCTCATGCTAGCTTCAGGCACTGGCCTGGCCCCCATGGTGCCCATCCTGCAGAGCATAACAGACAATGCAGAGGACGAGACCTTTGTCACCCTGGTCGGCTGCTTTAAGACCTTTGAGGGCATCTACCTGAAGACCTTCCTCCAGGAGCAGGCCCGTTTCTGGAACGTCCGAACCTTCTTTGTCCTCAGCCAGGTGAGCCCAGCGTGCTGACTTCCTTCCCTGATTGAGACTGTGCCGGCCCCTTGCACCCGTCCTGAGGATCTGCTGTGGCCTCCCTGCCTCAGGGGCCACAGTAGGAATCCCTGCTGCCAGTGGGAACTGCCACCCTGTGCCCGCAAGGAATGCAGGTCTGGTTCCATTTGGTGTGTGTGGATGCAGGAACTGACGCTCGAGAGGTGAAGGTGCTGGCCTGTCCGTGCTGCTGGCTGGGGTGAAGCCAGGACTGGAGCTCCCCACCATGCTTTGCTCCCTGCCAGTTCCCCCCTGGCCTCACCAGGTATACAGGCTGGGGGCCTGCGTGTGGAGTCAGTGGGCCAGGCCGCAGATGTCCCCAAGGCCGGGATAGGCTCCTTCGGGGCGGGGATCATGTGTCTGGATCACCAGGTGCTCCTCGGTGCTGGGCAGGGTGCCAGGCACGGAGTAGACACGCACGCCATCAGTGATTGGTGAGCAAGCGGATCTGGGGTCACCGCATTTATGCGGGCCCCTCCCCCAGCACTTTGTCCCTGCACGGGAGGAAAGCTGCTTCCAGACTCTCCAGGCTGCAGATACTTGAACTAGAAGCAACCCTGCCCCTCAGACTCCTCCTCCCTGCATGCACTCCGGCCACCTGCCCGCTCCCTCCCCTCTGGCCCACAGTCAGGGCCCATCTCGTTCCTTATGCAAAGCCAGGCCCTGGCCCTGAGCTGCCTTCCCCTTGGTCTGCAACTTTATTTCTCTTCCGTGCGCCCCCAGGGCTGGGCTCCCTGCTGGGGCCTCCACTCTGGTCTGTGTTGCTCAGGGTGGCCTCACTGCCCAGTACTTCGGAGCACCCTTCTCATCTGTTTTCCTACTTGAGGCAGCTTTAGAGTGTCCCTGAAGACTGGCATGATCTTCCCCATCGTGACTGGGTGGGGGGGGTCAGGAAACCGGGTTTCCCTCCCCAGTCCCAGGGGTCTGGGATCCTCAGTGACCAGGTTTTGTGGGCCTCTGCATGGGACAGGAGACTCAGTGGCGTGACCATGAGGAGGGCCATGCTAGGTGAGCATCTGCAGCAGCAGGAAGTGCCGAAGGCCGGGGTATGAAGCAAAGGTTAGTGTGCAGCCCAACTCTTGTGTGCCCGGGGCGGCCTGTCAGCTCCGCTCCAGGGCCAGCTCAAGGAAGGTGGGAGGAGTGGCAGAGTCACCCAGCTGTTGACCAGCCTTCCTGTTCCCTGACCGCATGCCAGGTGCCCGGGATGGGGAAATGAGGAGGACCTGCCCCCTGCCTCCCAGGCACTCACCTTTCTGTGGGGAGACAGCCACAGGGATGGCTTCACTGAGCACTTTCTCCGTGCCTGGCGCTGTTCTAGGCACTCTGTGTGCTAAATCATTTAATCTCACCACAGTCTTAGACGGCTTGTCCTGCCATCATGCCCGTTTTATAGAGATGGCACAGAGAGATTAAGAACCTTGACTAAGTTGGTGGAGAGTTAGGTGTGAACCCAGGTGGTCCTGCTCCAGACGCCCTGCTTTTCCTGCCTGTTGGTATAAGACAGCACAGGGAGAGGTGACACATGGAGGGTGCTGACGATGCTGGCGGCAAGCAGGGAGGGCTTCACAGAGGGGCTGGCATTGAGCCTGGGCTTGAGGGCAGAGTTAAAGTTGACCAGCAATAAAGGGCCCTCAGCCCTGGCTCAGGGCTTTGATGATGCCAGTGTCCTGGGGCTGGGCAGGCAAGTGGCTGGCTGTCAAAGGCAGGGGCAGGTGAGAGGCCATGGACTGGGAGGTGCCTCCTTGACCTAGGATGCTCCCTGGCCTGCCCGGGCTGCAGCCACAGCGGTCCCACAGATCTCCCCCTCCGGCCACTCCCTGCTAGTTGGCCCTTCATCTTGCAGCCAAAGGGCAACACTGACCCCCACCACCACCCTGCTTCCAGCCCTTCCCTGGCTCTGCACCGCTCTCAGGATGACGGCCCAGCCCACACGGCTGCACCAACCTCCGTGGGCTCGTCTCCTGGCCCACCCTCCTGGCATGTCCCGGCACCACGGTCTGCTGGTCACGCTGCAAGGGCACCGTGCTCTTCTGGCTGCCGGGCCTGTGGGTGCTGGTGCTGTTCCCCCTTCCAGGAGCACTTTTCCCCACTTGTTCACTGAACACCTACCCACCCCTCACATCTCTCTGCTGGGGTGGGACTCTATCTCCAGAGCCCCCAGACTGGCATAGGTGTTTCTGCTGTCACAGCTGGGACTCTCCTCCTTGACAGCATCTACCCTGCGGCGCCATCCCTGATTATGGGTCCCCCACCCCACCTGGGCAGCAACCAGACCCACCGCATCTCTGGGCGTGCAGTTGGGGGAGGGGGCCTATGCCAAACTGAATTAGCCTGTGGGAACTGGGCAGCGGGAGGGAGAGGGGAGGCCGCTGGCCCGCAAGGACCCTTTGGGTGGGTCAGAGCATGGAGGGGGCGTGGGAAGATCCAGATCATCAGAGCGGACCCCCTGTGAGCACAGTAGTGGTATCTTTAGAGGGCTCCTGGAGTCAGAGGAGCTCTGCGGCACGGGCCTCCAAGGTACTGTGAGGTGTGCCCGAGGGGAGGCCTACACCTGTCACAGTGGCTCACAGAAGTCAGGGTCACTCAGCTGGGACATGGTGGCAGAGCTTAAACTCCAGCCCCCTCTCTCCTTCGCATCTCTCTGCTTAGTCCCAGAAGCTTAGAAGCTCGCCTTAATAGGGTCTGCAGAGGGGATGGTCCTGTTCTGTTTTTGTTTGTTTAGATGCTGGTTGCATGGTGTCTTGTCTCCGTTAGGAATCTCCAGACTACATATACTTACTGATTTGTGCGCTTTTTCTGTACATATTGTACTTCAATGGAACGTTCACTTAAAAAAGAGAAGTTCCGCCAAGTAAGCTGGAGGTGGAGCTTTTCTTTCGTAATCCGGAAGATGCAAGCCACCAGCGAAGGCTGGAAGAGCAGAAAGATGCCTGGGTCACTCGGGCACCGTGCACCCTGGAATCCTACCTCCAGCCTTTTTATGTGAGAAATAGCGCGCCCCCCTCAGTTAAGGCACTGCTGCCTAGGGTCCCCGACACACGCAGCCAGAGCGGGACTGGGAGGCTTGTCTGATTCGAGCAGCCGCCACATGCCAGTGCCTAGCACCGTGCCGGGCACAGAGTGGCCCTCAGGCAGTACTTGTTCCGTCAGTAAGGTCATGAACACATGTTACGCTCCCAGGGTGATGGTGGCGGGCAGCCTTACAAAGGTGCTGGGAGACCCCCAGTGTTGGGGAGAAAACATCCCCCTGGAGTGACAGGGGCAGTGGCCCCTGAGAGGCAGCGAGAAGTGGTGGGGCCTGCCTCTCTGCGTGTCCTGGGATGCGCCCCCTCCTCCCTGTGCCTCCCCTGTTGTGGGAGGATAAGCATCCCCCCACCCGCCGGGCTTGTTATGACGGTAATCAGAGCCCCGGTGCCAAGAAGTCCCTGGCCTGTAGTAGGGCTAGCTGAAGGTTGCCTTTCCACCCCTCTGCCTCAGTTTCCTTGTTCGACAGTGATCTGCATGAACTCTGAAGACTTCCTAGTAGTCACCCGCATGATTTCTCATTGTCTCAGGAGAACTCCCTGGAGAAGCTTCCCTGGAGTTACCGAGAGAAGACCTGCTTTGGCCGCCTGGCCCAGGGCCTGATTGAAGAGCTGGTTGGCTCCTGTCGCAGAAAGCCATTTGCATTGGTCTGTGGCTCAGCCGAGTTTACCAAGGACATGGCCAGGTGCCTGCTGTGCGCAGGCCTGGCCAAGGACTCCTACTACCTCTTCTAGCCCTGACCTCCCTTTCAAAGCCCAGGCCAGGGTCCTGCCACTAAAACACTGGAAGAAGCACAGACTGGAGTCAGAAAACATGGAGTGCAGGCCTGGCCCCACCGCTCACTGGCCGGGTGACCTTAGGTGAATGTCTTTACCTCTGTGCACCTGCAGCTCTCCCCTACCTCACGAGGTTGCCAACTCCCTCAGGCAGACATCTTGCTGTGTGGAGGGAAGATGAGGCTGCAGGAGCCCCAGGGAGGGGGCATGGGAGTCCGGGAGGACTCCAGGGAGAAAGCCTGGTCCATGCCAAGCCCCAGTATGAGTAGGAGCCAGCAGGAGGAGGTGCAGGAGGAGCTTCCCAGGTGCCGCAGATTGGAGGGCTTGGGGACTCCCATCCCACCCTGCCCTAGAAATGCCTGTTCTAAAACCTGCTTTCCCTGGAAGCTGCGTGTCCCTGCTGTGGCCTCAGGGTTGGCTCAGATGCATTGCTTGCGGAGTGTTTAGGGAATGACCATAGGGGTAGCTAAGAGCTCTTTGGAGGAGGAACTTGCCTTATGTATCTCCTGTGCCTCAAGCCTGACACAGCGGTCTCAGGTTCTGTGACCTGATCACATTCTCTGGGCAAGGTGGGCCCTGGACTACCTTTATTTTGTACTGGGCCCAGGCCTTTCCTGCTGCAAACAGCTTCGCTCTCAGTCTCCCTTCCCTGGCTCAAGAGCCCATTCCAGAGTCCTTTCCTGAGCAAAAGAGGTACAGAAACGAACACCCCTCCCTCCTGTAGGCAGCCAGCTCAGCCCGCCTTCAGCTCAGGAGCCCTGGTGACGGTTGCTATGGAAATCTAAAGATAGAGCAGGAGTCAGGAGACCTGGGTCCCTCTCCCTGCTCTGCCCACTGAGCCACTGCTGATTCCGCTCCACCCCCACTGCCCTCCCCACCGTGTCCCTCCATCCTGCGTGGGGCAAGCCCTCCCCTCGGACCTGGCGCTCCATAATGAATCCTGCTTTCCACTGCCTGGCCTCCACCGTGCTGCCTCAGCTGGGGCTGGCTGCGGGCGCTCCCGGAATTGGAATAGTAAGCCATGAAATCTCAGAATCAGAGGACCATGGAATCAGTTAGAACTTTATGGTCGTGAAATCACAGCCCTCCTCACACCAGAGATTAAAGTTCGGGACTCCAGAAGGCATCCCGTCTATTAGACTCATTGTGCGAACGGGGAAAGCCAGGCCCCATGAGGCGAAGAGACGTGCCCAAGGTCAAACAGTTCGCCGCAGAGCTGGCATGAGAAGCCAGGTCCCCTGATGGCGCCTGTGTGGAGAGTTGAGGTAACCGGTGATTTTCACACCGGGCTCCATAGGACACTAGGGTTCCGGGCAAGGCAGCAGTGAGGGGACAGCCACGCGGGGTCTCCAGGCTCCCTGCAACCAGAGCAGTTTTGTGTTCATCCCATTGATATATCGGGGTTTGCGGTCACCTCCATTTGTGAGAGGGTTTTCCTGCATGGCCCAAAAAGTTGCAGGCACATCTCCGAGCTGGGCCATGTCCAGGAAATAACCCTGGTGGGCATCTGGGGGTGCCAGAGGTTTCACACTCAGACTTGGGGGTGGTAGGGAGTCCCCACGTAAGAAATGAGGGTCTGGCGTGGTTCTTTTGTGTCTTTGTCCCATTTTGTATGTTGGGTGTTTAGACATTAGACACAGCCACTCAGTGATAACCATCAGCCTCTCTTGTCCTAGAACGTGCCACCCTCCCCTCCCCTCACCTCACAGGGCGTCCAGACAGTCTGGGTACAGTGGGGTCTCTTATCATGGGACGATGGGGAAGACCCAGCCATGCCCTTGATACCAGTATGCCAAAAGGCTCATATCGTCCAGAGACTGGAAATCTCCTGCCTTGCGAGATGGTAAGTTAGCCTTAGAAGGGGACCGGCTGGGGTGTGTGAGGATGGACTGTCTGAATTGGAGGCAGGGCTCTGTCGGCTAGCCAGTTCTGCCCGTCCCTCCTGATGAAGCCACACCCACTGCATGGCATTGGGGGGGGCATGCCATCGGGGTGATGGCAGCCAAAGGACTCCCGCCTGAGTTTGGCCCCCCTCAGTATTTTGCCTGCAGCTCTTCTATGTTCCCCTCGCTGGTCTCCCAGCCTCTCCCCTCATGCCCTCCACACTGCCGCCGGACCTGGTTTTGCAACTCTGATAAGAACACTTGAGAGAGAGGAGGAGCAAGATGGCAGAGGAGTAGGAGACCTAAATTTCGTCTGGTCCCAGGAATTCAGCTGGATAGGGATCAAACCGTTCTGAATACCTATGAACTCAACAGGAGATCGAAGAAAAGAATAGCAGCAACTCTCTGAACAGAAAAGTGACCACTTTCTGGAAGGCCTTTGGAGCCTGTGCGTGGTCCAACTCCTATTCATCCTTCAAGTCCCAGCCTAGATGCCTCTTCCTCCAGGAAGCCTTCCCTGACTTTTCCAGGACAGTTTAAGAGCATTTCATCTAGGCTCCCACAACCCCTCTCCATTCTCTAGAAAAAAATTAAACCTCATCACACTAAAAAAACAAAAAACAAAAAGAACACTTAACATGAGAGCTCTCCTCCTAACAGAGCCTGTGCACAGTATATTATTGTTGACCGGAGGTGCAGTGTTGAACAGCAGATCTCCTGCTGATCTGAGCCTGTCACTCCCTTGCTGAAAATCCTTCAGTGGCTCCCTGTTGCCCTGGGACACAGCGTCACAGCCCTGCCTGCCTCTCCAAACTTACTTTCTGTCCTTGGCCCCTCGCCCCCAGCTCTCAGGTTTTGCCCCAGCACTCTAGCTCCCGTGACAGTATGGCCCTTCCCATTTGCTGCCCTCTGGGTCTGGGCCGTCCTCCCGCCCTCCCCTCTTCTACTCGCCTCGGGCTCCTCATCCTCTGAGGACTTACCGGCTCACTCTCCCTTCCTCTCTGAAGCCACAAGCCACGTCTGCCTCCACTGCCGCAGGCCAAGTTGGCCAGCAAGCTCTTGTGCATCCTGCTGCGGCGGCGTCTCCGACTGCCTCATTCACAGGTGAGCACGTCATGGGGCCGTCCTGGGGCCCGTGCACTGTGTGCCCGGTGTGGGCGTGTGCTCAGCACATCCTGAATGTTCAATGCCCACTTAATAAACAGCGAATATACATGGAGTACTTTACAGGTTACAAAATGCATCCCCTCTATGTTGAAGCACCGTACCGTCCCCAAGACGCACACTATTTTATTACCCCAGTCCGCTGATGAGGAAAACCAGGTTTCCAAGACATTAGGCAATTGTACAAGGTGACGTCGAGATGCACAAATTCCAACATGCTGCAGTTGTTATAAAGGTTATATGCGGCACGTTAGTGCACCAGGAGACGCGTATAAAGATTTTCTTGCTGCACCATTTGAAATAGCAAATAAAAACTGCCCATACGTCCATCAATAAGAGAATAGAGAAATAAATTGTTCTATATTCATCCAGTAAAATAACACATAGCAGTTAAAATGAATGAACTAGATCTACATGTATCAACCTAGACTCAATAAAAAAAAACATAATTGAGTGAAAATCAAATTGTAGAAGGCAACGTACAGTGAGATACCAATATTTTGAAAGTTTAAAAACACAAAATAATGCCAGCTGCTCAGGAAGGGGATACACCAACTGCAAGGGTGATAGTGACCTCTGGGGATGGCGTGGGGTGAGCACTCTTTTTTTATCTGCATCACTTCAATATAAAAACATTTGCAATGAACATGGCCAGATATGAACATCGGGTGACTCTGGGTGATGGGGTCACTGATGTCTGCTTTTTCTGTATTTGAAATTGTTCCATAATGAAAGATTTAAGAAAGAAGATGAAATATGCCTGGTCACGCTGCTTCAGAAACCAGAGGCTTAAACACGGTCATCCCCACCCTTCTCAGGATAGGCTATGCCCCTTTGTGCCTCCAGGCTTGTCCGGCTTCCATTTGAAACTGTCGTGAGTGCCTACTGTGTGCCCTGGTCTGGGTACCACAGTAAGTAGGAGACGCAACCTTGGCACTCAGCTTACACGCTGTTCCCTCTGCTTGTCCCTCTGCTTTCCTTCGTAAACGCAAACCGGAGTGACTTTCTACATACCACAGTTTGGGACTCTTGTTTATTTGTTTTCCTTTTCAAGTGAGGCAGGCCTAGAATCAAATCTCTTGCCAATTGTGTAAGTATCCAGAGCAAATAACTTGGTCTCTCTGAGCCTCAGTTTACTCATCCACAAAGCGGGGACAGTTGCGCCATCTCCCAGGGTTATGTGAGGCTGAAGGGAACGTGTGTGGTGCTGGAGCACAGCACGTCGCACACAGCGGGTGTGAGAGCCCAGCCCCCTCCTTTCTCTTGTCTCCCTGGTGGCCCCAACAAGTGCCTGGCTCATGGCTGGCCTCTGAGAAGAGCACTCGTTCGCAAACTTTCCACTCTCCAGAACCCCCCCGCTTTTTATTATTTTCCCCATGCTTTGGAAGATTTTGATCCCAAATTGCATGTATTAAGTCATTATTCATTTATCTCCCATTTTTTATTAACCAAAGACCCAGATAACTGCCCCTCAGAGCTTCTGATCTGTACAGCCAGCTGGGGGCTGCACGTGGTGGACGTAACTCCAGCCAGAGGGAGCCGAGTGCAGCAGCCGGTGTGGTCTGCGTGGCCTGAGGAGGGGCAGTGCAGATGCGTCGCATTCATTTTCTCGTTCGCATGGACCGTGAGTTGTGGGAGCCGTGGGCCTCGCCTGGGGATGCTGTTTGCTCAGGTCACCGACTAGCCAGTATTTAGCACAGGGGCCCCATGGGTCCGGAACCCTCATGCCACAGGGCTCACTCTAAGTAGATGGCGTGGACTGGGGCCACACAGAAGACGTAGGGTTCACAGAGTGGGAGGTGGCAAAGCTGTCTGCACGTGGATCCCACAGGCTCTGGCTGGAGGCCACTGCATCATCCTGCCCCTGGCTCCCCATGTTGACGGAGCACACTAGCTTGTAACAGCGCGGGC